GACGTGACATGTTCGTACGAACCCTTCATACGAACAAAAGTAAGAGAAATTTAGGATAAGAATACGAACATGTTCTTGCATGAGGCCCAATGTGATTGAAAAATTTTTATGCACATTTTGAACCAATATAAAAAGTGACTAAATTATGTTAATGCACAGTAAATATTATAAAACATCAAAATATTTTAATTGTAGAAAAGTAAGATTTAGGATGTTTTTTTTTTAAATGTAACTTAAAATAAAGTCAGAACCAATCAGATTTTACTCAAATATATTGTAAATAAAAACTTATCAGGCTTATAAAACATGTCAAAAAATACTAATTCATTATTCTTTTCACGATAAATTGGTAAAACATTACAGTATTTTGTATTTTTGAGTCTGTCTTGAGCGGACAAGTATCTGGGAATCCAGTTCACAAGTGATGGTAGGATGAACTAACATATCCAGGTCTCATCTGCAGTAAGGAGGTTGTTGTTCCAGTTTGTTGTGGTGAAGACATCAGAAGATTTACTGGTTTGTTGATGTGGTGTGAGAAGGATGATCTGGGTTTCCCATGTGGACCTGTCAGGTTCACAAATGAGCAGTAGAGGATGGATGGATGGATGGATGGATGGATGGATGGATGGATGGATGGATGGATGGATGGATGGATGTGGCAGAGCATGGTTGTTGTTCCCATTAGTTGGGTCTAAATACCAAAATATTCAGGTTGGGAAAAAAGAAATATGTCAAAACGGGAAATGAACAAAAAAACCAACAAAAGAAGCAATGTCTGTCTGCAAACAATAACGATGTATGTCTGTAAAAACATGGTTCTGTGGTCTGGTTGTGGAGCTGTTTTTAAGCCAACTGTTCTTATAATTCTTGATTGTAACTTCCTGTTTTAACAAGATGTTGACAGTTCATTTGCAAAACTCAGTGGTTCCAAACACGAGTCAGCTCACAAACAAATGATGTCACAATGGTACCATCCGTATTTTTATGTCTGTGATTCAGTTGTTTTATTTAATTATTTTGAGAGAGTGGGCCTGTTGTTGACATTCAATGGTGTAAAAACTGCTCTGCATGTACTGTTGTTCTTGGTGGGAGATTTGTTTTATATGCTGACGTTTATCATTTCTTTAAATATACCTTTTACAACACTACTGTATCCTTTTCCACTAGAAGTCCAGATATCTCAGTACTGCTTACACAACTCTCTACTGGTTCCAGTCTTACCTGTCAATTTGTTAGCAGTTTGTCAGTAGTGGTAAACTTGCATTCACCAGCAAGTTTACCAAGGAGTACCTCAAGGATCTACACTTGGACCTCATCTCATTGTCATTTACATGCTCCGCATTTATCAAATCATTTCTCTTCACAAACTCAAATTCTACTCATATGCCGATAAAACACAAATCTACATCACAGTCTCCATCCTGAGCAGCACATTGGTGACGGTGGAAAGGAAAAACTCCCTTTTAACAGGAAGAAACTCCAGCAGAACTAGACTCGGTACGAACGACCATCTGCCTCAACCAGCTGGGTTTAGGGGGACAGAGAGGTCCAGGTGAAAGGTTCTCTGAAAGAGAGAAAAAAACATGTTAATGTTAAAAATAATTACAACAATAAACATATAGAGGAGAGTGACTAAAAACAGCAGCAGAGTGGAAAAAAAATGTGCTCAGCCCGTCATCCAGTAGTCTAAACCCACAGCAGCAGAACCAAAGGATAACTCAGGAAACCAACACTAACTAAAGAATTTATCAAAAAGGAAAGTCTTAAGTCTAGACTTAAAAATAGACGTAGTGTAGATCTCCTTCAAGATATAGATCAGTGCTTCATCTGTCTATTCACCTTAGGTTCACAATCTTGGTGTTATTTAGACTCCGCTCTATTCTTTGAGTAAAACATCAAATCCATCATAAAATCTGCCTTTTAAAAAAAAAACCTCAAACACTTAAAGACCTTTGTCATCAGCCCTTGACTCTGTGGCAGAAACCTTAATCCATGTTTTCATCACCTCCTGTCTGGAATATTGCTGCACAGTTTTATGTTGAATCTCTGATTGGCTTCATTGAGCCTAAATTTGCTGCCAAGGCTTTTACTAACATCACAGCCTACAAACACTTCACTTCAGCTCTCATCCATCTTCACTGGCTTCTTGAATTCATTACAACATAGTTCATACCTACGCATCACTGCAGTCCTGTACTTCCCAGTACCTCTTTGACCTCTGTCACCCTTGTCAGAACTTAAGGTCTGCTGATAATTGACTGCACTCTGTTCATCACATCAGACCTTATAGAGTCTGTAGTGCTCTTCCTCCTCACATTTGCAATACTTCATCTCCAGGAGTATAAAATAACCCATTTTCATTGTTCATTTTGTTGTTGTTTGTTGTTATTCTGTTCCTCTATGTTACCCAGTCTTGGATTTCACAAAATCCTTGCTAAATTATTTAATATGATTCATGATTTCTGATTTTGCCTTTTTTGTTTTTCCTTCAGATTGGCCCCAAGTGGAAGGACGTGGTTTCTCGCTGCATCAAGGGCCACTACCAGCCACTGCTGCTGCTGTACGCCGACCCACGAGGAACACCAGTGTCGGTTCAGGACCTGCCATCACGACTCGACCTCCAGCACCTGAACAAGGCCTGTTACGACAGCGAAGACTCGGGTAACTACAACACAACTAGAAGACGTAGTAGTAGCAGAACAGCAAACACAAAGGTAACTAAAGCAGAACCTGCAGCTTTATTTCACTTTCTCTTTAGCCGTGTTTCCATAACTTTTTATGCGCATTTTGAAGTATAACGTTAGAAAAGGTGGATGGAAACGGCAAAATTAGCAAAAACGACCTTAATTTTGCAAAAAAACGTTTTTGCGCTTGCTTGAGGTGTTTTTGATTTTTTGATTTTCTGAAAAAGAGTTCATGCGCAAAAGGGGAGATGAAAACACATTTGGCGAATAAGTTCTCATGTAGGAAACATTTACCTGGATCAGCTGTTTCTGCTGTCCAGTAATTACAGCTGAACCCTCCTCCCACTGTCGGTGTCTTCCTGGATATTCCCGTAATGTAAAGAGAATTACATTTCTTGTGTTATGTCTCCAGACACCATGTAACATGCTGTCTAGAGACATAATAACAACAATACAATACAATACAATACAACAATACTAGATGATATGACAGAATAATTACAACTTTCCTGATAGTAGCAACACGTTCCTGATAACTTCTCTCCCTTGTCCTGAGATGTGTTGGCCCTGTGAGTTTTCGGCTTTACTTCCTGTTTACTACAGCCATGGTAACGTCAATTTCTGATTTAAATGCGCTTTGCGTAGTCTGGTTGATTCGCTCCAAGCCAGTTGATGGAAACACATCAGATGTGCATTTCTTTTTTTGTGACATTTTAAAGGTTCACTCAAAATGTGCATTAAACAGGATGGAAACATGACTTCTGACAGACAGGACTGAAGGAGCAGCTAACAGATGGACATGCAGTAGAAGTAGTTTTTGTTGTTTCACAGTGTCTGATTTAATGTGTTTTTGTTTTTTATATGAGCACATCAGCACTGACCTCACCCCCTTCCTCTCCTCTGCAGGTCGAGAGCCGTCCATCTCCAGCGACACTCGAACCGACTCGTCGACAGAGAGCTGCTCAGGCCGACTGCCCTCCCACTCCCACCATGAGTCCCTGGCGAGTCACTACTCATCTGACTCCCAGGGAACCGTCATCTGCATGGAAAGACCCAACGGAACCCTGCACACCTCGCTCTGCAGCCTGGATACCCTAGGTACCAGTTTAGTTGAAGATTTGTGGAGAACTCCTGACCTCCTCCTCCTCTTTTTTTTTTTCCAAAAATGTTCTGAACCTTTCATGATCTGACCTCACCTCAGGGTAATCGTTCCCAGAAATCACCCTTCCACTTTTTCAGCCATCCTTTCGTTTTTCTGTTACGTTTGCATGACGTGTTCATCATCCCACATTCCATCTGTTGCCATCTTGTTGCTAAGGTCACGTGACGGATGGTGAGCAGTACCAGCCTCAGAGGAAAGGAGGCGGGGCCACTGAAACGAGGCGGAGCTCTAGCCGTTACAGACGATTTAAACCTGACAGCGAAGCTTCGTCAGCGGGTTACCACAGTGAGGGTATGCAGGGTTTGGACCAGTGTTGTTTAGGATATTTTCTACAAAAATATTAGGCTGTTACCACTGATTTATTATTGTTTTAATGCAATGACAGGTTTAAAGTATAACAAAAATACAAACTAAATTAAAAATTTAACTATAAAATCAAATAAGAACATATTACCTTGTTTGAGCAGCTAAGAAAAAGAGATTAAATCTCAAGTTTGAAGAGAAATTCTGTTTCAGCATTTTATATTTGTTGCAAAAATATTCAGCTAAGATAATCACCCAGAAGGTGCTATTGGTGGTGTGTTTCATTCGTCGTTGAAAGTTTCAGTTTTTGATTTCACAATATGAAAAAATGAACTGAAAGACCACTTCTAACCCAGGAAACATGTTACCACTGTGTATGAATGCTAGCCTGTATTTTTTTTAATTTAGCCTCGTCTCTGAGCACAACAATTAGCAAAATGTGCTGTTTTTTGGATTTGCAATTGGTCCATGATGAGGTCAATTCCACATGTGAGTGTTGAATTCAATTCAATTCAATTCAAATTCAAAAATACTTTATTGATCCCAGAGGGAAATTAGGTAATGGGAATTAGGGAATTTTAATGTAAATGAAACAGAGATAAGAAACATTTCACACCATGTATCATGAGACCAAATCACCTGATAAACAGGCTGTTAAATGTCTCACAGACAAAAACCTGAATGATTCCTGGAATAAATAGACATCAGAGACCTCGTTGTAGCTGGCACCAACTTCTGTTCTGTGATCGGGCACCACCTGGACAGATCTAAATAAAGAGAAAACTGACTTACCTCTTTATAAACATTTTCACTCAAACCACCAGTGAAAGAAGGCTAGACCCCTTTTATATTCTAAACAGAATAGAATAGAATAGAATAGAATAGAATAGAATAGAATAGAATAGAATAGAATAGGATAGGATAGAATAGAATAGAATAGAATAGAANGAATAGAATAGAATAGAATAGAATAGAATAGAATAGAATAGAATAGAATAGAATAGAATAGTCTTTATTGTCCTGCCGAGGGGAAATTCAGGTGTCACAGCAGCATCCATACAAAGGATCACACACTAGTTACTTTACAAACTATAGACAGTACACAAAAAAATAAAATTAAAACTAACTAGCAATGATATGACTACTAAAAATAAAAAAATATAATATAAAGAATTGTGCAAGAATAAAAAAAGATATGTTTTGTTTTATAGACAGACCATCAGAATCTGTCATTAGGAATCAGAATTTGCCTGTTTTCAGTGCAAAACAATCTCAACAGACTATTAATTGTGAAGTATGACAGTGCAGACAATAAACAGAGATGTGCAATTACAGCAGAATCATTTTAAAAGTTTAAAATGTGAAATAACAGAGCAGCTGATTGCTCAGATTAGTAATAATATAAATGAGTAGTAGTGCAAATGATGGTTCAGTTGAGTTATTACAATGAATAGTAGCAGTACAAATGATTGTGCAGCAGCAGGTGTGTAAACACTTATTGTGATTTTTGGGCATGGTGCTGGTTATAGAGTCTAACAGCTGCAGGGAGGAAGGATCTACGATACCGCTCCTTTGTGCACCTCTGATGCAGCAGATAAATAGATAAATATAAACAGATAAAGATAGATAAAGATAACCAGATAAATATTTTAGACTTACAGTATTTTGTGAATACTGACGTATACTTTGTCTTAACATATTTTTTAATAAAGTTGCTTTAAAAAAGTCATAATACTAATTATTTGTAGTTTAAAAGTTCTAAATATAATGAAAAAATGTGAAGGCTTCAGAGTTATTTTACCTTTTTCCTTTAAAAAGCATAAATGTTTGGTGGTGAAGAAGCTGCAAAGTGAAGTCATGCAGTTAAAGGTTTAGTTTCATTTCTCATGGACTCATCATCCAGTCTTAGTTTTTCTTCACTGCTTTTGCCATCAGTTTCTTTTTACCTCCTCTCCTTCTCCTCTTGTTAATCCGCTCCTCCTTTCCTCCTTCCAGGAGAGACTTTAAAGGAACAGCAGGTTCCTCGTCACCTCCCCAAGCCTTCATCCTCCTTCTCACCCTCAACCAGCCGCCTCCGAGACTTCAAGGAAACCATGACCAACATCATCCGCCCCCTCTCCTCCTCTTCCTCCTCCTCTTTGCCAGCTGCCATCCTCTCATCTGAGCTCTCCTCTTCCTCCTCCTGTGGTCAGCACCTCCCTGCCACAAACTCCGCCGTGAGCTCCTTGTCCTCCGTTAAACCTCAGGACTGGGAGGCCGACAGCACCAGTGGTGAGTCCAAGTCCAGCTCCTTGGGAGGGGCAGTGACGGGGAGGTACCGACCGGCTTGGAGGCCTCGGAGGGAGACGCTCAACATCGACACCATCTTCACCAGAGAGAGGCGAAGGCAGGCCGGGTACAGCCCTCTTGGAGGACCACCTTCTGAGGACTGTGGAGCTCCTGGGTCTGAAGCTGCAGACCCCTCTTTCACGGTCCAGGAGGAGGGGATGTCTGTCAGACCGGGATCCTCCAAGACCCTCCCCAGCAGCTTCAGAGGAGCAGAGTTTCCTCCTCCTCCTCCTCCTCCCAGGCTGATCCAGAGGATGGAGAGCGGCTATGAGAGCAGCGAGAGAAACAGCAGCAGTCCTGTCAGTCTGGACCTGAACCTGGGAGACAGGTGAGGGACATAAGGGACAGTGGAGTCAGACAGATGACGAGGGGAGACGTGTGAGACACCTGAGGGACTGATGAGACACCTGAGAGACAAGTAGATAAGTGGGAGACAGGAGAGACACTTGAGGGACAGAAGAGAGACAGGTGAGAGACAGATCAGAGACCTTGGTGACAACTAGCTGAGAGACAGGTTCATATTGGGAGTGTGTGTGTGTGTGTGTGTGGGGGGGGGGGGGGGGTTTCCTACAACATGGGGTATTTTTTTTACAAAAAAAGCAGCCAGGTGGGGACCGAAGTGAATCGTGGGGACCAATGTCAGGTCCCCACGGGTCCAAATGCATGTTACAGGTGTGGGGTTAGGTTTAGGACCAAGGTTTAGGTTAGTTTTAGGGTCAGGTAAGTTTCTGTGAGGCTAATTTTAGAGTATATGGTCAGGGTTAGGATATAAAGTCTAAAAAACATGAATGGAAGTCAAAGAAAGGTCCCCACGGGGTCGAGAAACAAACGTGTGCGTGCGTGCCTGCGTGCGTGTGTGTGAGTCATGTTAGGGTTTTAATCAAATAAGTGACGTCATTTTTTTTTAAGCGAGGACATTTTTCTGGTCCTCAATGTTTTTGCAGCTCTGCTGTGCTTTACTAGTTAGGTTCAGAGGTATGGTGTGAATTAAGTTTTGGTTCAGTATAGACTTGTAATAGTTAGTTTTAGGGAATATGTCTGTTACAAAAACAAATGCAAGTCAATACAATGTCCTCATTTTGATGCAAGTACAATGATGTGTGTGTTTAAAAGTCAGCCTGTGTTCAATAAAACTGTTTTGCAAAATGTATTAAAGTCCTAATCTGTGTTTAAGGTTAGATTCCATTTTTTTTCAACTATTTGTCTTCTTTCTCCAGGGAGTGTGTTGTGAAGAAGACTTTATCCTCCTCTTCCTCGGGGCCGTCATGGAGGAACATTAGGTCAAAGAGCAGCGGCTCTTTGCTGCAGGAAGTCAACTCATCCAGCAGGGGGGGCCCGGGTACAAAACGTCAGTTTTCAAAAATTGCCGAACAAACACAAAATGTTTTTTTTAATTTGTCATTACAGCTAATGTAGTAACATAAAAACATGTATAATTTCACATTAAGAACAGGTTTTTAATGTTATTTCCATAAAACAATAAAAGTTTTTTTGGTGCCTTTGTTGCTACAGCTCCCTCTGCAGGTCGCAGCGAGCTGGACGAGCTGCAGGAGGAGGTGCTGAAGAGAGCAAGAGAGGAGGAGCAACAAAGACGGCAGGAGAAAGAGAAGGAGGCGGCACTTGGATTCAACCCAAGACCTAGCAAGTACCTGGACCTGGACCAGCTGCAGATCCAAGGTACCAGAATATAGTGAAAGGTTTAAGAGTTTTACAGAATCATAAATATTTTTATTTTATTATTGTTGATGTTTTTTAGTTGATCAGCTGACTGATCGATATGCTTTTCACTGTGAGCATTTAAATCTATCTGGATCAGTGTGTGTGTGTGTGTGTG